CCCTCCTCCTCCTCCTCCTCCTCCTCCTCCTCCTCCTCCTCCTCCTCTATTTCTCTTCTGATTTGAGAAGGCAACGTAAACTATCAGGTTCACTTGTCCTTGACCCGCCCCTTCAGCTACATCATGCCTATTGCTCGCTCAATTTAGTACAATTCACTCCATCAACATGGTGCAAGACAACACAGAAAAGATGAACGAATGACCTCACCTCACATCTCATCACCTTGCATCAGCTTCCTTCTAAGATTTCCTTCTTTGTACTTGTTCATCTCACATTTCACATGATTGTTCCTCGATCTACTTGCTGTAACTCTCTTTCTATGACTTCCTTCTCTCTCCCTCCATCTGCTCCTCTAGTTCTCCTCTACTCGTTTCTCTCCCCTCCTCCCTCTCTCCACCTCCCTCTCCCTCTCTCCTTCCTCACTCTCTCCTCTATCTCCTCTCTCTCTCTCCCTCTCTCCTCTCTCCTGCCTCCTCCTCCTCCTCCTCCCTCTCTTAAAAATCCTTCATCCTTCGGTCAAACCACGGAAACTCTCACCCCTACCCCCTCTCATGCATGAAAAAGTAGGGGTGATAAACAAATCAAAAGTACGATCTTGTACTTGGGGATATGTGGTGGGTGGTACCACCCTACCCTAAGATCAGTGAAAGGGAGGGGGTACGATATTGCTGCCAGGAATGGTCAAGGCGCAGATAAGAAGGGTAAGGGGTCATGAATGACCCACCCTCTGCAACCCATCTGCTCAGAGGCAGCAAGGGTGATGATCTGAATTAGTGTTATTGCCTTGAAGTGGTAGGGATGTCATCGTGAGGTAGGGTCGTGGGAGGATTGTAGGGGTTCGCCTCCGGGGGTCAAATTAAAATGAGGGTAGGGGTAGTCGAGAGCAGGGCACAGTGATCAAATCAGGGGTGAGCTGATGATCAGGAGGGGTAGGGGTAGGGGGGTAGTCAGGATTTTGCGGTGGTCAAATGGTGGAGCGGAGTTGAACATAAAAGAAGGGAAGGGAAGGGAAGGAGAAGGAGGAGCGAGAGCGAGAGCGAGAGCGAGAGCGAGAGCGAGAGCAGCAGGAAGAACATGGAAGAGCTGTTGACGAGGGAAGGCAAGTTGAACAACGTCGTAGACGGGAGTAAGGGTAGGATGGTCGCCGACATCCCTGGGATCCGAGGGGGGGGAGTGAGACGAGCGGTGGTGAAGAGGAAGGAGGACGAGAAGGAGCTGCTGCTGCAGCTCATCACCTTCAAGGAGCTCGCCTTGGGTCAGGAGGAGGAGGAGGTCAAGAAGTCGGTCCTGGAGCAGGTCGAGTTGCTCAGGGGGCTCAAACATCGTCACATCCTAGGTAAGACGAATTCCTCCCCTCATCCTCCTCCCTCCTCCTGCCTCCTCCTCCCTCCCCCTGCCTTCTCCTGCCTCCTCCTGCCTCCTCCTCCCTCCCCCTGCCTCCTCCTGCCTCCTCCTGCCTCCTCCTGCCTCCTCCTGCCTCCTCTTGTTCTCCTGTTTTCGTCCTCTCCTCCTTCACCCTCTCACACCTTCTCTCTCAAGGAGTCGTCGACGCGTTCCCCGCGGCAGAGCTGGACGGCAGGCTCGGCAGCTTCGAGGGGGGGGACCTGACGGAGCTCAGCGGGGGCCCGTCGGACCTGTGCATGCTGACGGAGCACAAGAGGAGGACGATGCTGGAGCTGATCGAGGAGCAGCGGGGGTGCGGCGGCAAGCTCGAGGAGGAGAGGATCTGGAAGTGGGTCATCCAGCTGTGCTCGGCGCTGGGGCAGCTTCACGCCATCGGCCTCGTGCTCGGCAGCCTTCACCCCCGGCAGGTCTACATCGACGAGCACGACGACGTGCGGGTCTTCCCCGTCGGCAGCCTCACCCTGGCGCTGCAGAGGAGGGAGGAGCGGGAGGGGCTGGGGGCCGGGACCCCCTCCCCCGAGACGTTCCTCAACGTCTCCCCCGAGCGCCTCCGGGCTCGGCTGCAGAGCTTCACCCCCAAGTGCGACATGTGGGCGCTGGGCTGCTCGGCCTACTGGCTAGTGACGCTCTCCCATCCCTTCGTGAGCTTCGGCAAGGACATTCTCCGAGGCATTCAGAACGAGCCTCCCCGCAAGATCCGCCGGTCCGAGCACAACTACAGCTGGTGCCTCCGCTCCCTCCCCCAGTGGCTCCTCCAGAAGGACCCCAGCTACCGCCCAACTGCCATGGAGCTCTACACTCACTTCCTCTTCAACTGGCCGCAGAACTCCTACCTCTTTACGGAGGAAGGAAACTTTCTGTCCATCGACTCGTCGGCCGTCAGCCACTGGAGTGCGGAGGCTCTGGACGAGTGCGGCGAGTCAGTCGAGTGGAACACGGAGCAAGCGATCGAGAAGGCTGTGGATGGGACTGAGACTCAGTGGGAGGACTTGATGGCCTTGTACGCACAACCTGACCTACAGGAGAACTGAAAGATGAGTGAGAAGGTCGCTAACTTGCTGTGTTGAGATGAGAGTAGTGCTGCTGTCTCGTCGTGTCAGCAGGGAGGATTGACATACGTGGACGAGGAGTTTGTCTTCTTGTGAATGAATCATGATTGAGAAACGTGCATGTCTCCTGCTTCAAGAGCGAAAGTAACGTGAAGCAATGATCACCAGCAGAGGACTTCAATCCAATCTCTCGAGAGCTCCTCCACTCACTATTTCGCTGACTGCCCCAACACTCTCCCTCCTCACTCCTCGCGCTCGTTCCACAGTCTGTTCGCTGCCTCCAAGTCGTCCAGGACTCCCGTCGTCTTCCACGTCTCTCCGAGATCCGGCAGGGTGTCCCACATGCTGTACAGGAGGAGGCGGCGAGGATGGAGGGAGGGGAACACCTGCCGCTCGGCTGCCATGCCGAGACGGAGGATACTGCGGAGCTTCGCCTCTAGGGGAGAGAGCTCGTTGCCGAGGTCGGGATCGAACCCTTCCGTGCCGAGGGAGGAGCGTTGAAGGAGGTGCCAGAGGAGGAGGGAGTACTTGTGTATCATGAGCAGCATCAGCCAGTGGGTCATCGCCACCTCCCCGTCCAGCTCTGCCAGCAGCTTCTCCCCGCGGCCTGCGAGGCTTCGGAGCTCGTCGAGGGGAGGAGACTCGCGGTCGCAAAGCTCGTCGGCGAGGATGCAGAAGTGAGAGACGCCGAGCTCGAGGTCTACCAGCCTCGTCGCGCCCTCGGGGCCCTGACTCCCTCCTCCCTTCATCGCCTCCAGCATCTTGTCGACCTTGTCCTCCTGATCGAGGCAACGAGGGCAGTCGCACTCGAACCCCCACCTGTGCAGCAGCTCCTGCCTCCTCATCGCCTTGGGCAGCGCGTACAAGGTCGAGTCGTAGCATATGGCGATCTCCTGCCCCGTCCTGATCTGCCTCAGCGCTCGGACCTGAACGTCGTCGCTAGTTGGGCAGGGGTAGATGGCCGCGTTCGGCTTGCATGAATGGTTGAAGGCGCTGGCGTCCCTTGCTAGTACGCAGTCTCCTCGCGCGTTCCTAAACCTGAAAGTATCTGAGCAGCAAGGATGAGCAGGAGGAGCAGGAGCAGGAGCAGGAGGAGCAGGAGCAGGAGCAGGAGCAGGAGCAGGAGCAGGAGCAGGAGCAGGAGCAGGAGCAGGAGGAGCAGGAGCAGGAGGAGCAGGAGCAGGAGGATGAAGAGGAGGAGGAGATCTCACCCGTTCAGGCTTGACTGTGCGACGATCCTTGACCATCCCTCCTCGTCGATACGCTGACGGAGATCCTTGGGCACCTCCTTCCTCTCGTACTTTAACGGCGCATGCAGCACCCGCACCAGCTTCGGATCCTCCATGACTTGTCTCGCAAGCTCCTCTAGGGACCTCCCACGGATGGGCTGCTCCTTGAGCATGAGCTCGCCCTCCTCGATGCGAGTTCTCGCCAGGAAGCCTCTGCCCTTCCCTCCTCCCACCTCCTCCACCATCTCCGCCCCTCGTCGCAGCCATCGCACCCCCCGCACTGTAAGACGCATGGTGCGGGGACTCGGAGCCTTGGAACTTTGACAGTCCTGACGGCTCTTAAAGTTTGAAATTTTGAAAGTTTGAATGTATGAAAGTTTGAAAGTTTGAAAGTTAGAGGAACCATGGCAAGCCCCGTCTCGCATGCGCTCGTGTCGACGTACCTGGGGATGAGGTGAGGACGAGGAGGACGAGGAGGACGAGGAGGACGAGGAGGACGAGGAGAGGGAAGGAGGAGACACGCAGAGAGAGGAGAGGGTGGAAACCAACAGGAGGGAGAGGAGTGGAGTCAAGGGAAGTCGAAGAAGTCCGGGAGGGATATTAGTACAGGAAGAGAAGGAGAGGAAATGCGGGAAGAGCAGCGATGGAGGAGACAAACTATCATCGTGTGAGCACGTAGACAAGAATCGCTGTAAGAGTTCATCCATTCTGATCCTGACATCGCTGCTGTTTGCCCGTCCATGGCTCCTTGCGGCCCTTAGGAATGGGCTGCATTACGGGGTGAAGATTAGAGCACCCCACGCGCTCATCATGCACCTCATCTTCAAGGCTCAGTCCCCCCTGAAAGACAACCTCATCTCCATCCTCAAGGTACCGCTACACGTCCGTCCTGCCTCCTCCATCCTGCCTCCTCCTCCGCTCCTCCCCTCTTCCTAACCCTTCCCTCTCCAGATGAGCTTCGTGCATGCAAGAAACCTCGGGGTGTTCGTCTTCATCTACAAGGGTCTGCTGTCTGCGGTGCTGCTAGCTCGTGCTTGTTCACTTGCCTCATCGTTCCTCCAGGCTAGGCTGCTCTACATTGCCCTCGGCCTTGGGGTCTCCACACCACCGGGAGCAGCAGCACGGGGCTGGCATGCTCTGCTGGCAGGATGGTAAGAAGTGAAGTTGTGGTGAAGGAGATCCGTTCCCTTCAACACTTCATCCTCCTCGTCCATCATCAACACCACTGTGCTGTTTCCTCCTCCTCTGCCTAACGCCAGTCCCTCCTAGCTCCTACTCGTCCTTTACTGACATTCTTGTGGAGGATCGGAGCACAGTTCGTGTGGGCAAACTTCTCGTCAGTGAACGAGCAGATTTGCTTGTACCTGCTGAGCAGAGTGAGAAATCGAGGAGGAGGAGAGGAGGGGGAAGTAGGGTGGGAGGGGAGGGGAGCAGCGGGAGGGCGAAGGGGAGCAGGAGCAGGAGCAGGAGATTCACAGGCGGGCAGGTAATCCTCGGTCTCTTCAAGCTGATGGCAAAGAGAGGAGTTTCGCCTCTGAACAAGGTCAACTACCAACAAGTCTACCCCTACCTCGCCTCCGCGTACCGTCGAGCTAACAAGTTTGTGCGATGCTGACTAGCCCGCAGGATCTGGGCGATTGTCATGTGGATCTACGAGGTTGAACCCAAGATGCTGCAGCCTTCCCTTGAAGCCTCCATGAGGTGCAACAACAACAAACAACATCGTCATCACCACTACCACCACCACCACCATCAACAACAACAAACAACAACATCGTCACCACCACCACCACCACCACCACCACCATCAACAACAGCAAAAAACAACATCGTCATCATCATCATCACCACCACCACCACCATCAACAACAACAACAACAACCTTCCTCCTCCCTCCTATTACCACGACCAGCACCTCTGACGTTGAGCTCAGGTATCTCTACACCGACAGCAACTCCTGGAGCAGGAAGGAGAGGTTCTTCCCCACCCTCGCCTCTGCCGCCATCCTGGGGAGCGTCTTCTGGATGAAGAGAAAGAGCCTGGCGGACCTCTGGGACCTCAAGAAGAGGGTGTGACGAGGCGGGCACGCGAGGAGGCGAGCGAAAGGCGACAAGGTTAACGCAGACGGAGGGCGGGAGAGCGGAACAAGGGGAGGGGAGGACGAGGCTGCGTGAGAGGAGCGAGGAGCGAAGAGGGGCGGGAGAGGAGGAGGAAGATAAGAAGTTGAGGGAGGGGGGGAGGGGGGGGTGGGGCGGTTGGTACTTCAGGAGTTTCGTTAAGGAGTTGCGTTGACAAGCACAGAGCGGAAGTACTGAGTGAACTGCTTCCTGTCAAGGCCCCCCCGCGAGCTGCCAGTAATGTCCTGCAGCAGATGCTCGATGCTCTCGGCGTCGAACCCGAGCCTCTCGAGCCTCAGGAGCAGCTCCTTGCGGTCCACCACCCCCGAGTTGTCCTCGTCGAAGAACTGAAAGAGCTGCTCCAAGGAGTTTACCAGCTCGTCCCCCTCGTCAGCTGGGAACATCATGGCCGTTGCGAACTCCTTGAAGTCGATGTGCCCGTTACGGTTCACGTCCATGAAGGAGGTGAGCTGCTGAAGGGCCCCAGGGCTGACGTGGCAGCCGAGGTCGTCGGCGATGGTCTTGACCTCGTCGCAGCTGATCATGCCGCTCTTGTCCGTGTCGTGGATCTCAAAGATGGCACGGAGGTCAAGGAGGACGTCGGGGGACTCCTTGCTGAAGAGCTCCTCCCACTCCATCTCGACGATCTCGGACGTGCGCCGGTGGAAGTGATAGCCCGACTTGATGAGCTGGAGGCGGAAGATTATCTTGGAGAGGGTGAGGAGGATGGCGTCGAAACGCTTCTTCCTCTGCTGCCGTAGCACCTTCCACACGTCGTCGTTCTGCCGCAGCTTCTCGGTCGCTGTGTTCCAGTTGTACATGAGGAAGGTCGGGGGAGTGAGCAGGATGGCGGCGAAGGGAGGGAGCATCGCGAGGTACTGGAGAAAGTCGAGCTCCTTGGGTAGCTGAAGGCTCTCAAAGAAGATGGGCTGGAGGGCGAGAAGCACGATGGAGTTGAAGAGGAGGAGCTTCATGCTCGAGAGGTAGTAGCCCGGCCCGTTGGCCCCGACGCGTCCGAACAAGATCTCATGGTCGTTGCGGGGGGGAGCGCTGAAGGGAATCTCGAAGAGCGCGGCCCAGTTGACAAAGTTGTTGTCGTAGACCTCCCGGTTGAGCTCCAAGTAGGGGGGAGGCTGCAGACGGTAGTAGTCGATGCCGTTCTTGGAGACCTTGCGCAGCCCCGGCATGAGCTGGTGGTGGATGATGGACATCTTCATGAAGTTCCATAGCGTCCAGACTATGATGGAGGCATGGGAGAGGAGGAAGATGGAGAGGAGGCCGACCTTGTACCCTCCGTCCCCGAACTCCACCTCTCCGAGGCCCTCCAGCAGAATTACGGCGAGGGCGAGGGGAATCCAGATCCAGGCGAGCTGCTTCGTCTCGATGGTGACGAGCTTCCTGAGGTTCTTGGAGGCGTTGTTCTCCAGGTAGGAGAAGAACTTGAAGTCTTCGGGGAGGAAGATCCCGTCCCGCTTCGCTTGCACGATGAACCTCTCGCGGAACCGGAGGAACTCTGCCTTCCTCTCCTCCGAGTCCTTGACCAGCTCGCTCAGGAGGAGGTTCACACTCCAGATCTCCTCCGGGCGCGTCGCCGACAGCCCTCCATGCATGATCATCTTCTCGAAGACTCTGTCGTGCGACCACTTCATCTCCGGGCGGTCGTTCTTGAGCTTCATCACGTCGTCGGAGATCTTCATGCGGATCAGGTCGTAGCGGAACGAGAAGTCCCACTCCTGGATCTGCCTGCTGATCCATATCACCAGCATCGTGCAGGCCCCGAAGAAGGCGATGGTCACCGAGAAGAGGCCGTTATGCAAGGTTTCGAACTCCTCGAACAGGAGCTCGGGCTCCCCGAGGTACTTGTCGCTCAGGTACGCCAGTCAGCTGTCCTCTCCTCCGATCTGGAAGGATCCGACCAGGAGGCCGATGAAGCCCAGGGTCGCGAGCTCGGAGAAGATCTTGACGATGACCGGCCGCATGGTGAGCGGGAGCTCCTCCTTCACGTACTCCTTGAACATGTCGAAGACGTTGGTCAGGAGGAGGATGGCTGAAATAAGGATGAGGCCCCAGCCCGCTGAGGTCCCGATGATCGCCTTGAGGAAAGGGTTCAGAAACTCGACATGGTGGCTAGCATGCTCGCTGTGAGCCCCCCCCGTTGACGGAAGGGACGAGTGCAAGTTGCCGATAAGCTCGTCCAGTCCACTGCCCTGCATGCGAGCCGCCTGCCTCCTCCTCCTGGCGAATCCGAGAGCCGGAGGAACTGGACTCCTCAGACGAGGTCGATGAGAAGAAAGTTTGGCTGCCGCTGGGTGCAGCACGAAGCACTGGCAAGGGTTGAAAGAAAGTAAAAGAATAAGGGTCAACAACAAGAGCTTGTTCGCATCCAGGGATGCTCGGGTTGTCCAGGGAATGTACATGGCAACGGAGGATGAAGACCTCGATGATCAACACGGAAAAATCACAAAGCTAAACTCTTACAACAACAGTACAACAAAAAATTGGAAGGACAATTCCGATGAAAATTCCGCCCTGCCGCATGTTGGATCAGCCGAATGTCCGACATGATATAGTGAGAACAGGTAACAAACATCAAAGTTGCTGTGAAGCATTGTTTGATCAATATTCCTCGCACTTTGGTCCTTTATCAGTATGTTATCCTCCTTGATATCAAACCTCTCGATCAGGGTAGGCTGTGCCTCCTGCCTTCAAGTGTTTGCGAGTCGTGTCGCGTCCATTCTTCTGTAAGCTATCAGCTAACTCGCACGTTCTACTTCAGTCTGATCTGACTCAAAGTTCGAGTCGATCTGGTATTACACCATCTCATCTGCCTTCGTCTCCGCCAGCATACCTTGCCTTCTCGATGCATTTCATCGAGCTACTTCATAGTCTTCGAACCATCCACCAACTTTCGGTATCCTTGCTTTCTCGTCAAAGCTACTCCCCTACTCCCCTCCCCTCCCCTCCTCTTCTTCTCGCATCTCCTGTCAAGAAGCGCTGCATCGTGCGGTCTCAATTTCCGAACAAATAACATGTGGTTTTAAAAATTGATACTGTAGTACTATTTAAAATAGCTTATATAAAAATTGCACCTACCCCTACCTACCTATTTACTGGTCTGATGACCCCACCTTCTGAAATCAAACCGAAGCAGTCAAGTTTTGGTTACGTATCGTCGTAAGTCGATGTTAATCTCTGTTAATCTTGACAGTACTCGGTGATTCTCTGTGATTTTAGCGATCTCAATTGACATCTACGTGTGATGTTCTGTTAAATGATCAAATACTTTTTAACTTCTGTGAACGTAAGAAGAAGTTGCTAGTCCCAACGTCAGCAACGTGTAAAGTAAAAAAAAAATTCCCGGAGGATCTCAGTGACTCGCCGGGCTTAAACCGGTGCTTGAGGCGGCCGGGCCCGCCACGCCGTGACGGCCGGGCCGGCCTAACCGTACTGACAGTCGGTCCTGCCAGGGGGGCCGTGGCAAGCGGCGGAGGCTGCCAGGGGCCGGGTGGCCCGGCCGGGCATGAGGCCCGGTGAGAGCGGCCGAGTCGACTCGTCGGAAATGAAGCCTAAGTTGACTGCCGAGTCGACTCGTCGGAAATGAAGCCTATAAGTTGACTGCCAGGGTTGGGACTTGAGTCGCCGTGACCGTGACGGTCACCGGGTGACTCAGTGGTGCCCTACTAGCCTAGATCCCGAGTCCCCGGACTCGGGCCGGGATTTTACACCCGGCTTCAACTCAAGGACGGTTCAAGCCTCCGATTTTAGTTCGGTGCCAGGGTGAGCGGCCGGGCGGGCCCACCGCTAAGTTGGTACTGAAAACTGACATGTCGGAGTCGCCTAGTTGCAGGTGTGTACCCCCACCCCCTCATCTCCCAGATATTTTCAGTGATATGACCCCCTCCCAAGATGCGTAAAGGCCTCTTGCCAACATTGTTGCTACCACCCCACCCCAGTTGAAGAAATTCAATTAGCTCAAGGAATATACCACCCTCTTGTTCTAGGGCAGACTACCCGTACTTTCGTGAATACCACCCCACCCCTCCTTCAAGACCCCTTGAAGTACCATGATTATTGTACCCCCACCGCCACGAAATGCAGAGGAGATTGTCTACCACCTACCCACCAACAAATTTACCCCACCCCCAACATTAGTCCTCCAAATCGTTTGTCCACCCCTGCTTTTCATACCCTACCCCAGTGTCTGGACTTTATCCAATACCACCCCTATGGACTCCACTAAATACACCCCACCCTGAATAATCTGCCACCCCTACCCAGTACCCACCCCTGGGACCGGCATCCTCACCCCCTGCTAGTCCCTCGCCGCCGCGATGCAGCCATCCGCTGGTGCCGGGAGCGATGAATGCAACGTAAGAGGAGCATGCACGGCTTCATGCTCGCCCTCGCTGCCTCTCGTTCCATCCTCTCTCCTCCTCCTCCTAAGGCTGCTCATCGATTGCCTCTGCTTCTGCCATCCCACCCAGTCTTGTCCCTCCCTATTGGAGGCCACCTCGCCCCGCCAGCATTTCGCTCGTGTGCAGCTCCCCCTCGCCTTTGTTCCGCTATCTGCTCACAGCAGCGAACTCGGTTTGATGACTCTGCCATGTTGTCTGCCTCCTGTCCTCAAAGTCTAGCATGATGTGCTCCATGTGAGGCAGAGCTCGAATGGTCCCATCTCAGTGCATGCACGAGTTTGGTGGGAGGTGCCGCCGTGCGACTTATTGCTCTCATCAGATTCTGGATTCTCAAGATCTCAAGACCAGGATGCAGCCGCTCCTGCAGGACACCATTGTCCTTCGAGGACTGTTCTTCGATGCGCTCAGGCATGGCATGTCAGGGCGTTATTTGTGCTGGTGACATAACGACAGGAAGGGGAGCTCGGAGAAAAAGAGGTTTATGAATCAGCCTAGCTGCCACATTGAGGAGCATGGATATAACACAAGGTCCATTTCCAAGTGTCTTGATTCGGTTTCATGACATGAAAATCTAGGAACATTGACTTCAATGCTGCCTCAACAAACCTTGAATGCATCGAGGCATTCAGTGAGAATGTGAAGAAGATCCTCTCTCTGTGAGTTGGTCCTGGACACTTCTATCCCCTTTCTGATGAAACATATGTTAAAGCTCGGAGAAGTATGCTGAGCAACATACTTCAAAGACTCTGCAGGACATTGTCGACGTTGTGGAGAGGTGAGTGTTTGGCAAAGCTATGATATCGAGAGGCGCGCCGTCGCCTCTGACTGTCTCGCGATAGATCATCGATCGAGGAAGTCAAGATCGTTGCGCGCATCTTCGCCGTTCTCCTGTCACAGATCAACATTGCAGAGAGGTGCAGACTCAATCGGCGTAATCAACGAGACTGAATTTGCTGATGCGGTGGTCGGATGTGCAGGCATCACAGGTACCGCCGCTGGAGCATGTATAAGCGTCGTGAGATCGCTATCCTGCATTTCTCGGATGGTCAGCATCATCAGGTTCATGTGCGCATGTCGGCCAGGAGGGGAAGCTGAGAGTCGGCTGCTCGCAGGCTGATGACTGCTTCAAGATGTTGAAGGAGAACGGCTTCACCCCTCAGAAGATCCATGATGTGATGCCTTGCGCACGCGTTCAATCACTAGCCTGAATGATCGTTGGGCAGTCTTTGTGCAAGCAGAACCTGGAGCTTGTCTTCACCGCGCATCCCACCCAGGTGCTGTGACGTCTTGGGAGCGATCGCCTCTGACCCGCTGCCATCCAGTCTGAGAGGCGTAGCATCTTGAAGAAGTTTGCGGCCTTGGACGCTGCTCTTGAGGCGCTGGACTTGCATGTCCGACGAACCTGAAGGGGGGAGGAGAACTGAAGTTTGTCTCTGAGTAGGGAGAATCGCAGACCCCCCTACAGAAGGAGTTGATCTTCATGCGCCTCCAGCAGGTGAGCTTCCGGCCGAGATGCAGTTGCCATGGCTGACGGCTAGTCTAGACTCTGCTGGCGATCTGGAGAACGAACAACATGAGGACGATCAAGCCTTCGCCAGAGGTTGGAGGAGCCTATCGCCTGTAGTGTGCAGACCTGAGCGACTTGCTCAGGATGAAGCGCGCTATGGCCTGAGTGTCGTCGAAGAGACTCTGTGGGATGCGGTAAGCAACCATTGAGAGAGGGATGAAAGTGCTGACAGCTCCCTCAAGGTCCCGCAACACTACAGGATTGTCGACGACTCGCTCCGAAGGCTGGGCCAGCCCCCCCTTCCACTGGTGCGTCATGATTGCAGGACATGCACTGTGGATGGTGATGGAGGACGCAGAACTGCAACCTCATCACCCTCGGCTCGTGGATGGGAGGAGATCGCGATGGAAACCCGTAGGAGCCTCTAGCGTGTCGAGACGAGTGACTGACCGATGGCTTGTCAGATATGTCACCCATGACATCACCAAGAAGATCATCTACCTCTCCATGATGCGAGCATGCAGGCTGTACTACAACGTGAGTCCAGAGCGAACATTGGGCATAACCTGTGCCGTGTTGGTCGCGAGGACGCGGCTGTCGTTGACCACTTCGTGTGCAGGAGGTCGAGAAGCTCCTTTGGGCGCTCTCTATGACAGGAGAGCCGAGCAGCGAGGTGCTGGAATGGCTTGCCGAGCATCAGAACGATTATCACAATGAGACTGTGGAAGTCGAAGGACGCGGCGGACACCAGACCAAGAACTGGTGCCTTTGAGATGCTGCAGCGGCTCTGCTTCCCTGACTGCTCTCTTCTTCTTCTCCAGGGATTTTTACCGCAGCGAGCAAACTGTGGAGGAGCCCTACCGTCAGGTCTTGCCTGCACTCCTCCCGTCGGGTGTTAGTGCTCACTTAACTTCAGGTCCTGGTGATCGTCCGCGAGATGCTTGAGAGGACGATCATTCGTGCTGAGGTGGCTCCTCCTCTCCCCCTCGTCCTCTACCTCCTCCCTCTTCTCCTCCTCCTTCTCCTCTACCTCCTCCCCACTCCCCTCCCCCTCCTCCTCCTCCTCTACCTCCTCCCCTCCTCCTCCTCATTTACCTCCTCCCCCTCCCCCTCCCCCCTCCTCCTCCTTCGCGCTTTGCCTCGGCCTTACCTCATGGGTAGGCCTTGTCCCATGGTCGGGAGCCTCCTCCAGTCGACGGCAAGTGCTTCCGGACCACGGAAGAGCTGATGAAGCCGTTCGCGCTCATCTACGACAGTCTGGAGCAGTCGGGCGACCATCTCGTCTGCCACGGCAAGCTCAAGGACCTCATTCGCCGCATCCGGACCTTCGGCCTCTACCTCGTTAAGCTCGACATCCGTCAGGAGTCTTCCAAGCACGAGGAGGTCATGGACGCTATCACCTCGCACCTGGGACTCGGCCAGTACTCCACCTGGTCGGAGGAGACGAAGATCCAGTGGTTGACCAACGAGCTGCTGAGCAAGAGGCCTCTGCTGGGCTCTCAGGACTTCAACTGTTCGCCGATGGTGAGGGAGGTGCTTGACACGTTCAAGGTGATCATGAGCTGCAACGCTGAGCCGTTCGGCGCCTACGTGATCTCCATGACACAATCTGCCTCGGACGTGCTCGAGGTTCACTTGCTGCAGAAGGAAGCGGGATGCCGCCAGCACCTTCGCGTCGCCCCTCTCTTCGAGACCAAAGAGGATCTCATCAACGCGCCCAAGGCTTTGCTCGCGCTCTACAAGAACGAGTGGTACAGGAACCACTTCGATACCGTCAACACCAAGTACCAGGAGGTCATGCTTGGCTACTCCGACTCCGCCAAGGACGCGGGACGTCTGACGTCTGTCTGGGAACTTTACAAGGCCCAGGAGAGTCTCGTACAGATCTCAGCGGAGCACAAGATCCCACTCAACCTCTTCCACGGTCGTGGGGGTTCAGTGGGGCGAGGAGGAGGACCTCAGTACCTTGCGATCCTCTCTCAGCCCGCGGGTTCGATCAACGGGTCGCTGCGGGTGACCATTCAGGGAGAGGTGATCGAGAACTACTTCGGGTCCCACAGGTCGTGCGAGCTCACGTTCGAGCGATACACCACTGCCATCCTCAAGGCGACGCTGACGCCTCCCGCCCCTCCCTCGGACCTGTTCAGGGATGTGATGCAGCGAATGTCGGAGACGAGCTGCGCGGCCTACAAGAAGATCGTGTACGACACCCCGGGCTTCGTCGACTACTTCAGAGCCATCACGCCCGAGCAGGAACTGAAGACCTTGAACTTCGGCTCCCGTCCAAGCAAGCGAGCAAAAGGTGAGGAGGAGAAGGAGGAGGAGGAGGCTGAGCAGACCACAACTAGGTGGAATCGAGACGCTCAGGGCCATTCCATGGATGTTCGCATGGACGCAGATGAGGCTGCACATGCCGGTAGACCGAGATAGAGAAGCGAAATCCCCAGCTGAGCTCTTGTTAGGTCTGGTTCGGCGTTGGCTCAGCCTTCAAGAGCGAGATCGACGCAGGAAACCTTGACACTCTCCGCGAGATGTAAGGGACCCCATGCTGCCACCCCAGCCTGACACGCGGCAGGTACGCCAAGTGGCCCTTCTTCCAGTCGACAGTGGAGCTCGTCGAAGCCGTCCTCTCCAAGGTAGTGCCTGCTCGCTCAAGGCGGGAGGGAGAGGAGGGAGGGAGGAGTCAGCGATGTCTGTGACGATGGATGTGCTGATGCGCTTGCAGGTGGACGTTGAGATCACGAGACTGTACGAGAAGATGCTCGTCCCTGCCGACGTGCTCTACATCGGCGAGATGATCTACAAGGTCCCCGTCCCCTTCTTGTGCCTCTCCCCCGCCTTGGGCTCCACTTATCTCCAGCAGCACTCATCTTCCTCTCGCTCACTCCCTGTTTGCGCGCAGGAGCTCGACATGTCAATCGAGTGCGTCAAGATGATCACGGGGCGCGAGAATCTTCTCTCAAACAACCCCATCATCAAGCGACTCTACGACATCAGGAGACCCATGACGGACCCGCTCAACATCCTCCAGGTTGGACCGCTCCCTGCTTGCACTCCTCCCTCCTCCCTCCCTCTCCCACCTTCGCTCTTTCCTCACTTCTCCTGCTCATCTCACCGCTGACGTGCGAGGGCAGGCGAAGGTCCTGAGGGACATGCGTATGCACGAGAATCCTCCGCAGGAGCTCCAGGAGTCTTTCGCTGCCACCGTCCAGGTACGCGGCGATTCAAGAGGCGACGACGTGACGAGGTCGGGCAGGGGATCGCAGCGGGGATGGGATGGACTGGATGAGGCCGACCAAGGCATCAGCCGCGTGTGTACAGAAAGAAGCTTTCAATCTCCCTCGTCATTACAAACTCCTCTCCCCCTCCTCCACTCGCCTCACCTCCTCCCAAGTCGTTATCATGCTCCTCTCCTGCACTCCCGAGGCACCCGAGACGAGGCGCTACTGCCCCTCCCCTCCCTCCTCTTCTCAGTCGTATCCGTCCCTCTTACATCTTGTATCCTGGCCCGCAAGCATCGCCGAAGGGCCCGCAGTCCTGCGACTCCATGAGGCTCGTGAGCCCGCAGGCAGCGCATCGTACCTGGGGAGCCAGGGAGCCGCCAACTGTGAGAGGAGCCTCCTGGAGCTCGGAGAGCACAGGCTTCGAGGAGAAGGAGAAGAGAAGATCGAACATGTTCCTGCCCAACAAGAGGTAAGTCCGTGAACCAGACGCTATGGAAGCAGGATCAAAGGAGGGGAAGAGATGTAAGCTATTTCCCTGAACTTCTAATGATTCTTTCATTCGAGTATCCTTGTTTGCAGCTATGTTTAGTTCCAGGTCATCTTCTCTCCCATCAAGAGCTTCCATGAATCTGACAATCGCACCATCTCGTTCAACTTTCTACCCAGAAGCAAATTTGCTGTGCTCCTCTTCTCTTTCGCGATCCCTCACTTGTCGATACAATCTTCCTCATCCTTGATTGTTGACCTTGCTGTCTCACATCTCCTTGGTCATACCAGAGCATGCCTCTCTATTCACCTCCTACACCTTTCTTTCAATGTCCTTCACAGTCTCACATCAAGCTAAATTAAGCTGAACTTCCCTTACTCCGATTCACCTTCTGGCATTTGTAGCCCACTAGCCCATCATCATCATCATCATCATCATCATCATCATCATCGTCGTCATCATCATCATCGTCGTCGTCGTCGTCGTCATCATCATCATCATCATCATCAGCAGCAGCAGCAGCAGCAGCAGCAGCATCAGCAGCATCAGCAGCATCAGCAGCATCAGCAGCAGCAGCAGCAGCAGCAGCATCAGCAGCAGCAGCAGCAGCAGCAGCATCAGCAGCATCAGCAGCAGCAGCAGCAGCAGCAGCATCAGCAGCATCAGCAGCATCAGCAGCATCAGCAGCATCAGCAGCATCAGCAGCAGCATCTCCATCTACATCTATATCATCTTCATCATCCTCCTCCGCTGATTCCCTGCCATCGCATGTCTTTCTATTTCTGGCAGTTTTTGCACCCCTCCAATTTCCTCAAGTTCTTCAGTATTAGGGGGGTGGGGTGGAATACATGGTCGATCACTCACTACGTCCGTCCGAACCGGGACCCGGCCGCCGGACTTCCCGGCCCGAATGGCGCGGGCGGCGGGGCCCCCCGGCGGCCCCGGCGGGCCGGGCGGGCCGGGCGGCCGGGCCGGGCCGGGCCTCTAACTTAGCATCACTGACGGCACACAGGGCTATGAAAGAAGAAGCCTCAGTCTTAAGTATGATTCATTCGCTTCATATGATGAGAAACTTTGTTCTTCCCGCTGCTAATGACGGAGATAAGATACTGTACAAGAGCTCCATCAAGTCCTCGCGCATCTGCGAGTGAAAGTTAACAAACTCGAAAGCAGCAGCAGCAGCAGCAGCAGCAGCAGTCAACCTCTTTCATGTCGAACATTCTGCATCACAGGGAGTGAGTCTTTGGCGAGACTGTAAGGAGAACTTACGATCGGAACTTGCTGTCTTGAAACGTGTCGATGACAACAATTTTCATTCTCTCAGCAGAGATCTCACCATTCTTGATGAGTTTGAGCAGTCTGGAGATCATCGTCATCTCCCTCGCCTTCATCTCCATCACCACCCGCACCTGCTCGTCGTTGTCACGATCACGGAACATCCGAGCGCCTTGTCACTGATCAGGAACTTGGCGAGCAGCTTCTTGACTTTGGGGTGGCTGCTGAAGGCTTTGACCACCTTCTCCTCCACCACCGCACCCTTGAGAGCCGAGAGGACGAGCGAGCCGCGGTCGGAGGAGGGAACGACGATGGCCATGGCGGGGGATGCGCAGCTGACTTCCTCCCTCCTCCCTTCGAGGCTCTCCGGGTGAGTTCTCTGCATGTGATCTACCGCTCCCTCCACGTTGCGCTGCTTGACCGGGAGAGCGAGGAAGTTGTTGTCTTTGAAGCAGTCGTTCACTTCGATTGAAGAGAGTTTGGCTCCAAAGTCTGAGTTCTTGAGGAGACTGCAGAAGAAAGCTGCTTGCTGTGACGCTGACTGGTGGGCGATGCTCGCGCTCTCTTCTCTTGTGATTGCATTGCCCTTGATTCTTTTCTTCTCTCTGAGGTTCTGCAAGCTCTTCTTCCTCTTCGCGCTCTTACCTGGCTCCCCCACGGCCTTCTCAACCCCTTCGTCCTCCTCCGACCCTCCTGCAAAGTCTCCGTCCAGCTCGAAGTTCTCTTCAAGCGTGTCCCCGGAAACGTCTTGCGGCATGCTGGCAGAGAGAGAGTCAGGCATTAGGCTGCTGCACTGAGAAGGTGACCGTGGCAGAGAAAAGCACGAGAGAGGAATAAATTGCTAGCAGGACGCAAGGACGCAAAGGACGAGAAAATCGAGGACGAGAGGAAAAGGAGGACGAGCAGTAGCAAGACGAGGATCAGCAAGCGATGGAGCGGCACGAGGAGGGAGAGGAGGACGACGACGATCAAGAAGAAGAGGATCATCATCAGGAGGAGGAGGAGCAGCAGCAGTATCAGCAGGCGGAGCAGGAGAACAAGAAAGATGGGGAGCAGCACCAGCACCAGCACCAGCACCAGCACCAGCACCAGCACCAGCACCAGGAGCAGCAGGAGCAGGAGCAGCAGGAGCAGGAGCTGCAGCAGGAGCAGGAGCAGGAGGAGCAGGAGCAGAAGGAGCAGGAGCAGAAGGAGCAGGAGCAGCAGGAGCAGGAGCAGCATGAGCAGGAGCAGCAGCAGAGCAGAGCTGCAGGAGCAGGAGCTGCAGAGCAGGAGCTGCAGCAGAGAGCAGATCAGGAGCTGCAGAGCAGAGAGATCTGCAGGAGAGCAGAGCAGAGCTGCAGAGCAGAGCTGCAGCAGAGACAGACAGA